ATTGGCGTAATCCAACCTAAGCTTAGCCAATTCGTCTGATAACTGCGCCGCCTGCAGAGGATCATGAGCTGTTAAACCCCGCAGAGTCCTCGAGGTAAGAGTCAAAGCACGATCCATCCACTACAAAACAAAAAAATAAGAATAAAAATATATGCACATTATTTATTAAAATAAAATTTATTCTAATCAAATATTATTAAAAAGCTTGCGGACGTCTTACATAGTCGATGTTCCCACGCGTAGGGACCTCTCTCTCGTCAGGCACACTCTCACCCAAGACAGTAAGATGAGAAACCCGACGGTACCACAGCAAGTACTCCGGATCGGCCTCCCGTCGATCATCTGTGGCGACCCTACACAAGCTGGTGTTGACAGTCTGCGACATCGGGAACTGGTTCCACATATTTACTGCGCCGACATCAGGATGCTCAACTTTGTACAGCCTCGACTGCCAAGCACGGTAATAATTGTTAGTTAATCATTCATGATTATAAAATTCTAATTAATAATGTATAAAATTCTAATTAATCATCTATACTACCTGCCAAGCACGGTTTACAGCGGTCGGCGTCTGTATAGGGGGAGGGATGGTCTGGATATACCCCAACTGGCGCAGAAACCATACAGGATAGTACGGCTTGACAATATCGTGGTACTGAATCAGTCTGCAATAAAGAGTCCTCTGCTCTATCTCATCTGGCCATGAGCTGCTGTATGGCGTCCATTGTACCTGTTCACAATGGCATAAAAGCATTTATAAGAATATTTATATTATTTTAAATAATGAGTAACTAAATTAAATAACTTAACGTACACTGGAGGCAGTGAGTCTGTCCAGCTTACGACGGATAGACATGAGACAGTCCTCTGACCTATGACCCGTCCCTGCGTTCCACACCCGAGCTCGTGCGGACTCGTTAGGTCCGAGAGGTAAACGCCCCTCCTGGGGTCGGAAATCAGGGAAATACTCGTAAATCCAAGACTGTAGAAGAGTCAAGCAGCCGGAAAGTTGTTTGGAGTCCCCTCTGCTGGCAATACCTAACTGTCGGTATAAATATGTCAGCGTAGCCGACCCCCAGGAGTAACCTCCAATGGCACCCAAGCCGTCGAGCACCTCATGTAAGAGCTTCGGACTCACTCTACTACCACTCTTGTCTACGAACAACGTGGTAGCCAGCAGCACCCAAATCCAGGCACCAGCCTCATCTGAAGCCAACTTATTTTTACTCCTAAATATCTCCCCAACAGAGGCTTCGGCCACCAAACCACGCTACCACACGGACGCAATTAGGTCAGGCTTCGTGACCGAAAGTATCTCCATGCAGTAAGCCTGGCATGCCTCTGAATCCGGGTCCTCAACGACCACAGCTCCCTCAACATAAATGTCCAAAATGGCCCGGACATCGTGCAACATAATGCTCATCTCACCAAAAGGCAGGTGAAACGAGTTAGTATCAGGCTGCCATCGCTCCACAAATGCAGTAATCAGTGGAGTGTCCAAGTGGGCGTGCATGGAGTCTACCAAATGTGACAGCCCAGTCTGTCTAATCAGATCAAGTGCCTCGACAGACATTTCACCTCGCCAAGCTTTCAGATTTTCTACAGCTCGCTGTCTGTTCTGGCATTTCAGTAAGTCTCGCATCTGTCCATTCCACATTCGGGAGGCTACGTGCCCTAAAAAGCTAGGGATCACACTCCCATCCATGGGCCCACCGGGAACTGGACCTCTAACGATCCAGTCTGCCCCATCATCAGTCCTAGATCGTTTGCTAGTACCTACATTAGAATAGAAAAGACAAATATATAAATATATAATTGAAATAATGTCACTAACAGTACTGATAATTTGTTGCGATTAAGTCGAAATATTAATGTCAAACGAAATAAAAATACTTAAATTATTTACCTGAGGATCGAGTGCTAGCAAAACGCCCACCAGCCTGTCGTGGAATAGCAGGCCGAACAGGAGCCGTAGGCTGTGCAGGAACCGCAGGCTGTGCAGGAGACGCATGTTGTGTAGGAGGTGTATGTTGAGCAGGAGGTGTATGATGCGGTGGGAGTCCAGGATCGTACGCATCGTCATATGATGCAGACTGGTCAGAAGACTGCTCCGTCTGGGCTACCGACTCATCAGCATAATATACCTGCTGACCGTGCGGTGCTGGTGCACGGGGTATCGAACTGCCTGCCTGGCCAGCATAATAATATCTATGCTGATCATGATCGTACAGTAATGGTCCGGGGACGGGGACTCTAGAACTGCCTGCCTGGTCATACCCTTGCTGACCAACCGGTACGGCTGGTGCGTGAAGTCTCGAACTGTCGGACTGGCCAACCTGACCAGTTTGTAACATCCGAGCCTCTTTGATCGCCTCCTCCCGAGTGCGGCGACCGGACACAGTTATACCCCGATTTATAACTTGTCGGTCTCCAGAACCATGCATAATATTGTCGGCCGGGTCGTCACGGTCAGCTTGTTCAGGTATACGAATACCCTAAATGAACAATTTAAAGTAATAATTAGTAAATATTTTTTTTTAATTTATATAATACGATAATTACATATATTCATTTATATTAATTTATATATATGTTTTTATACATATTATAATAAATTATATACATATTTTTTAAATTATTACATATATGTTTTTAAATGTTAATATATTAATTTTATAAAGTAACAATTTTTATTATTTAAATGCTAATATTTTAATTTTGTAATATTCAAATAATTATATTATAATATTTTTTACTTTTTTAATGTCATTTTTTTTTACTTTTATATTATAATTATTATTATATTTATTATTATGCTAATATTTTTAGTTTTTAATTTGTGAGTAAATATATTATAATATTTTTTTCTTTATTAATGTAATATTTTTTTCTTTTATTTCATAAATATTATAATTTTAATTAT